TTTCCCTATTCTCTTTTTGCTTTCTCTTTAAGACTTTAAAGCTCTACTATTTTAAAGAAACGTACTGAGAACCCTGGGCTTTTTTGTATCATGGAGACTTCACTGGAGCAGGTTGCAAAATAAAACACTATGCAGCATCACAAAACATGTCAGAATCTTGTCTATGCCAAGAAAATAGTTGACAGTCTGAGTTTGCTGGAATATGGTTTTGTAGGCTGTTACAAACACAGTCAGGGTGCTGAAGGCTTGGACAAGTATAGGAGAGAGGGGAGCTCTGTGTGAATGATCCCATCCCTATGTTACAGATTGCTATGTCTCTAAGTGGAAGGCACCTTTTTTAATTTAAATCACCCTTAACAGAAAACAGTTCAAGACAAATGCAAATGAAGTACTGAAACAAACCTGAAATATACTAAATTGAATAAAGGAATTCATAGATTATATATAAAAAAAATCTCTGTCTAGATACATCTAGAGTAAATTTGAACATTTCTCTCAACTTGGCTGATTCAGCTAAACTAATGATACTTCTCAGCTGAGGACTGTGGTCTTCCAGCAATCTGAGGTTTGTATAAATTCATAGCCATATTTAACACATGGACATTTTAATTATGGTACAGATTTGTAGGCTTCTGCACATGTGAATGTACAGAAGTTGAACATTTTCCTGGACAGTAGGAAAGGCCTTTGTACCTCCTACTAAGTGAACAACTCATTAAAGAGAAAGGCAAACACTGGAGTAGCAACCACTTCTGTCTGGATAGATGAAACTATTTCAGGGGGCACAAGGAGGACTGTGGACGGCTCCAAAGTAGGACTCCATGACCAGTGTTTTCAGGAAGAAGGGTCTTTCTTCTTGCTTGGATTAGGGAAAACTTTGTCAAGATGAATGCGTGTGAGAGGGAAAGAAGGTTGGAATCTGAATCTGGGTGAAATGTTTTTATAAAAGAAAGCAGGGATCACCAGTCTTGGACTCTCTTCTGAGTAGACAGTCTGGAGAAGAAATGTCAAAATGTTTCAAAGCTTAGTTCTTAGTGCATCCATGCATACCTAGTCTTCAAAATCAGAATCCTATATGATTTCAGTCCTGTACAAACTAGGATGTTAGTATGTGTGTATGTGGGAGTAATGAATCAGTTATGTATATAATTCCAGCCTGGCATTTTTAACTATAGTATTGCAGAAGCAACTGAGTTTCTCTTCCTCTGTAGTAAATATATAGCTAAAAATCATTGGAAATCATAGTTTTTATAGCCTAAATTATATTCACAGTCCAGTCAAGCTGAAGTATTCATACATTTGAGAGTGGCCAGTGTTGTGACTGCATGTGCAACGTTTACATTACAAACAGTACAGGTACCAATTCAAACCCTAAATCTCAAAGACAGTCATCTCCCAAAAAACCTTTTCCACCTCCCTAAACCAAGAGTGAAAGAGAGTTATCTCAGTGCTCCAAGCTTCATCCAGCTGAGAGGGAAATTAATTCCATGCACATGGGCTTCTTACTGAGACTCTTCATGCACCAGCTCCATGGTGTTTTAATCAGCCTGCTGTTGGTAAGATCATCAGTCACAGAATTTCATAAGCCACAAGACTGGCACAAATAGCATGAGGTTATTATTTATTCATTTTTAAATATTAAATCATGTTTTTAGCAGTTGTCTCACTTTTCAGCTTATCCTGCCAGCTCCTAATATATATGAGACAGTTATTGAATTACCAACCAATCTTGAAAATTGTAGTGGCAGATAAGAGGTGTGTGACTCCAGTAAAATACTTATGATGGGACAAGTTCCCTTGTGGGCAAAACAATGGACGTAGGGAAACAACCTATAGGCATATAAGTCATCTTTCAATTGTATAAATTTGTCCAATTAGAGCAGTTACATGTGTGTGGAAAAGCCAAAAGCCCAGGACTCTGTTGCTCTAGGTAATATAACCAGATGTGATAAAATCAAAGCTTAGAGCCATGTCTGGTGATCAGGCTGTGAGTACTGAATTTGGGACATACAAGCTGCCTTTAATCATAAAACATTTAACAGGTTGAAAAAAATTGGCCATAGACACATTCATTCTTGGATAGAACATCTTACAGTATAGAATAATTGTAAAGCATCTTTCACACTAAAATAGAAAAAATATTCCTCCTTCTAAATAAGCCATAGGTTATGGGTAGAGTTTGAAGTGCAGCCTTCGGTTCCATTGCATGTATTTTATCCATGTCGACTCCAGAACCAGGTGGTAGGATAGGTCTGTAGAAGGAGATGTGGCACCCACCTGCCCCTGGATCCTACCTCAGCTGAGTGCAGAACAGTCAGCTCTGCAGCTTAAGTTTCAGTTAATGCTTTGTAGGATAAATATGGTCAAGAGGTTGCAGAAGAAAATAGCCAGGTGTAACATTAACACCTGTTTTTAAGCTGTCTCCATAATCTGAAGCTGGATAGGAAAATTTGAACTTCTATCACTGTGTGAAAAGAGTAACTCTTTTTAGCTGAATCATGTGGTAAAGTCTTGGCTTCACTGAAATCACTGTTGAAGTTAATCCTGACTTCAAAGGGAATTGGAACCTCTCTAGAAACAATTC